TAGTTTTGCCGGAAATCGAGATAAACCATTTTTTACCCTTAAAACTCTCGCTCGTAATGTATTTTTAATTTCATTTTCATCATATTCCCCTTCTTTTCTGATGGGTTTCATCCTACTATTTTTTTTATTTTTACCATTTTTACTCCAGTGTAATTTGAAACTTATAAAGGAAGTAGACCTGAGTCTGTTTTGTAAATTCGCCATGTTGGAGTTATCCTGTTGCGACAACTGTTATAAACGCCTTTCAACATACATTTGTGGATTTTCAGCCACACTTTCCCGAACTGCGTGAAAAGTCTCAACTGAACGAGCTGGACGTTCCCGTACTTTTGATTTTATATCCTTGCACAGATCCGGTAGTTTCAATTTCATGCATTATTTTGCAAATGGTACTTCTCAGGAAAGATTGCATACACTAAAGTTATCACGAGTTCGCCGATATGTAGCTCTCACAAAAGACCCATTTTGAAAATATTTTCAAATAATGTAAAAACGTTATTCGACTGTACAGCGCTGCATTGTTCAAATTATACTGAAATCTCTAATCCAAAGAAACTCGAATAACAGAAAAACGTCTAAGATAAGACTAATAGCAAATAAAAACATTCGAAACCTCTTATTGGAAGGCACTTTACCAACGAGAATTTATGATTTCAAATAAATTCATTTGGTTTGGTACTTCTTGTGGAGAAAATCAGAGTTTTTATTGGCCTTTCCAGGGATTTTCACATTACACAATTTCATCCATGTGTAGAAAGGGCAAAACTTCCAGTTGATCCCAATGAGTAACTGCATGAAGTGAATGTATATTTTGTAATTGATAATTTTGCCTATCCATGAAAGCGTCCAAAATTCTAGAAATACTTATACTGCAATACTACGAGGGCGGTCTGAAAAGTTTCTGACCTAACAAAGATACAAAACATTTTTTCAATTCGTTTTTAAACAGTTTCCTTCTCTACACACTTCTTTCAGCGATGCTCCTATCTCTGTAATCCGTCCAAATAGTACTCGGCATTTTTCTCTGCAAAATAATTATTCATGAAGTTGATGAATAAAATTTCTGTCTTCCGAGCTCAATTTTCAGATGAGGGAACAAAAAGTCACTTGGGGCTAGATCTGGTGAGTGAGGTGGATGATCAAGCAGTTCAAACCGTAATTCGTGGATTTTCGCTATGGCAACTATTGAGGTGTGAAACGTTGAATTGTCTTGGTGCAACAGGATTTTCTTTCTGCAAATGTAGCCGTTCTTCCGCCTTCATCTTGTCAAAGTATTGATGCGTAGTATGCTCCTGTTATGGATTTTCCATTTTGAAGATAATCGAATATTACTCCATGATTATCCCAAAAAACAATCGCTCTCATACAATACTCAACTTACCGGTGGCCAAAATCTGTCACCATCTTTACAATCGAAGAAATCATGAACACTGCCCAAAAAGATCAATGGGTTTTCCAGTAAATTATTCATTAATAGTGACCAACACAACCATTCGACTAAATATTCAGGCAATCTAAAATTATTAAAATAGAAAGAAATATTGGACAGAATACAATTCATCATATAGGTATCAAGTTTCACGATGAGCTATCGAATTTAATGATAAAAAATTCCGAATAACATTGAAAAAATATATTCATTGCTTTAAAACTGTTATAATATATGGGTGATAATCTGAGGTCTGCAGAATTGGATTTACTCTTTCTCGTTCTCAGTGGTGAATGAAGTTTTGTTTGCAAATTACATTTTATTATCAAATTATGATATAATTATGTATATACTCATATGGAGTAAGAAAAATTATGGAAGTTCTTTTTTTTTCATGATTAGTTCCTGGCAACAAATGGATGTTATAGTTATACAGATTCTTGAAATTCTTCAAGTCCTTCCTTTCTTAGTTAGGTAAAATTTTTTTTCATACCTATCATTTGATTTCGTACTGACGACTCACTTCTGTTCAATGCACTAGTTTGTCTTGGAAGTCTTTGAGGGGGTTCTACAAAATAACGATCTCATAACGTAAAATATTAATGAAACAATCGATTTGCGATTGGTATATAAATTGTTACTTAATTTACTCGTAGATGAACATTTAAGATCAGAAAAAACGGCTGTTCTTTATCAGTGCTTCAAAAAAATGAATGATACTTTTTCTGACCTGTGAGTGTATCACTTGAACAATCTATTTCTCCTAACATGAAAATAAAATAGTTGAGAGGGGTAAGTGACAAATATTGGTTTTAATCCATATAAAATTTACCATGGTTTTGAATTCCGGGACAATTTGGGTTGCAACATCTCATTAGCGATCCGGTGACAGTGGTTTGTTGTTGATAATGAGTCCTTCCACATTTACAGCATGGACTCTGATAATATTGGTGGTGAACTGCATCTTGCGTAGCCGATGATCTGAAACATAATTTGAAAAACCATATTTTTACGTCCCCATGTGTTATGGCTGTCCAAAACACTACTTCGTGTTCACTTCCTGTGCCATTGTTTCGACCTTTCTCAGGGCTTTAATATTTAGTCGAGTAGTGATGCCATTTTTTTATAAAAATTCACAAAAAAGTGCAGTTGAAAGAATATGGCGTGTGAATCAGTTTATAGTAATATATTTTGGTAGTAGCATCGTCAGTTTTCATTGTTATTTCGATTCTACCTTGATAGAGTGATACACACTCTATGAAAAAGGATGATTTGAATATGCATTAGAAAAGTTGCCGACATTCCTACACGGTCGAATCTGGCAGGTGCATGCCGAAAAACCATTTCCCTAGATATTACTATGACGGACATTACTTGATATCCGACAGACATTTGTTCCCCTACAAAGGAAATTATTGCAGATACTTTTGATTCGTCCAGCACCAGAACCTGGATGAGCTTTCAGCATTATGTAAATTAATAACTTCCTAAATCATGTGAATACATTCCAAAAATAAGTTCAATTTCCTACGTTCATGGTCAGCATTTAACTTGGCTTTTCAAACTTCTCACATAGAAGTATAAAGGATCTCATCATTCATACATCATTATTGTTGTTATACTTCTACATTTTACTATTCTGTCCACGCACAAGTTTTACTTTTATGGGCCATGTTTTACTTATTTACCATTGTATGATGACTAGTCTAGTTGAAAAAACTCCAGACATCACCAGAAGATGGCAAATGAGACTTTTCCGAAACATTGTGAGAATAATTCTTATGGGGATAAAATACAACTGGATGATGCAACTAATTTTTTCCTTATTTTCAGTATTTTACTATTAATGTAAGTTACAAAAAGGATTTGAAGCTCTATAACTTCTATTTGATTATCTGCGAGCGCTTTCGACAGCTGGTCGTGCTGTCATCCTCTAGGCACTATTCTATCTGAACGTGTCATCCTGTGTGTGTCCGAACGCCTCAATACAGGTAATTCTGTTGCTTTAGGTAAATTTGCCTGTATTTGGATTACATCAGGTACTATTCTTTGTGATGAAACTTCTCTAGGTTTATTGTTTCTAGAAGTGTATATTGATTTGTTCAATATATTGAATGTTAGGTCTTGTTGTGTTTCGATTTGTACTTGTTCCTCGATAAGTGATTTTTGACTTGAATTTATGGATGTTTAAGTTTTCCCAAATGTCCATGCGGTTTCCCTTATTGACTCGTTTTATGAGTTGTATGTTCTTTGGTGTGGGAAAGTTATGTTTGTTTTGTATGGCGTGTGTTGCGAGGTTTGATTTATATACTATTGGGCTTATGTATGCCTTTTTGTGTTCATCGTACTTTTGGATCAGTTTTTCCTTGGTTTGTCCGATATAGAATTTGTTGCAGTCCGAGCATTGTATACTGTATACATTGTATATATATATATATACATATTACAGGATGTATTCAGGTTTTTTTGCTAGTGAAAAAGAATATATTTTGTCTTTTTGTTGATATTCTTTTCTTTAATTTTGATTTCAGCCATCTCCGGTGATTTTTGGTGTTAGTATAATCGACTGAATGATCATTATCTACAACGTGTTGTCTCAGAGCACAAACATTTTGTTTTATATTTTTACAATTACTTTTTTGAAGAGCTATGCGGGTTTTTAAATTGTTTTTTATTTGTCCCATATATATCTTTTTACAATTGTTGCAGGGAATTTCGAATAACAGATCTTCATCTGTTAATTAAAGTTTAATTAAAGGTTTAACTTTCTTTTGTGAAATTTTTATGTTCAGTTCTTGTTCAAATATGTTTATGATTTTGCTGGACAATTCAGGGACATAAGGAATGGAAGAGTATTTGAAATATGGATTTTTAGCTTGATTGTTTTCTCTGATGTTGATGATATTAGATGAAGTAGGTATTATATAACAATACATTCAAAAAGTTTGGAGGATAAGAATCAGTTAATAAAATATTGAATAATTGTTTTAAATTTTTTTGTACCAATCTAGGATGAGACTTTTTCTTCGATTTTTTAAACCAAGAACTAAATTAATTTTAATTTTTTGTGGATGACAGGATAGACAGTTGTATGTATCTGCCTGAATTAGTGGGTTTCATAATTTTTGATAAATAAATATCATTATCATTATGAGGAAAAGTACTCCCCTTGTTTCCGCCCAATATTTTCATCAACACTTCACTGTGGACTGTTTTTATTCAATATCGAAAAATATTTTTCTATTCTCTGAATGGAAGAAATTCAACAATATAACATTGTATACTCACTGTTGGCACAACGCTGCTCTACTGTCCTGCATTTTTATGGATGTATTTTCATTCGAATCTTCTTGCAACGTAGACAATTTTTTTTCAAGATCAATTTTGACTTCACGAGTGTCTGGTTTCGACCTGAAAAGGAACTGTAGAATAGTTTTCAATTTTTGGAAAATGATCTATGATCTCAAAGATCAACAAAGATCATATTTATATATTTCAAGATAACACTGAAATTTTAATGGATTTGTGAAGCCTAATCTGACTGAAAATTTTTGTTATATCTAAATGTCATAAAACTGTCTTGTCATAAATTACAAATTCCCATATTAATTACAGTGTGAACATAGATAACCGTTCCCCTCATGAATTTTGAGTGGGTCAAGATATCAATGATACCCACAGAGCTCCAAACTTAGTTATCACAGGTTACACAAACTTTTGTGAGAAAAAAATATTGTCAACGGAAATTATTTCGACCAAAAATAACATTTTTGGTATCAATCCGATCTAGGTTTTTTTTGTGATCACTATGAAGAATTCACACCGTAAATCCGGCCGTACACGGACCATATATTTGCAGTTGAGGCAACCACAACATTGTGGTCACGTTGGCTGCACTTCGCGGTTGACCCAACCACATTTTTGTGGTCGACTTGCGGTCATATAAACCGCACTTGCAGCTGAGGCAACTGACAATAAAAATTGAATGCTGTGAGACCAATATGAGAAATAGTACACCACGGTGTACGCGGTTGGGTACGACTGCAAGTTTGTGGTTAGTGTACGGCGGATGACGCGATGCCATCTCGGCGGAGATCAGCAGCAAGTTGACTGCAGACGTCCGTTTTGACTTTTGTGAACGCCCGTGTACGTGTAGTACACGGCGGCTTGAGTTCGCTGGAACGCGACTGCAGTTGTGTGGTCGATCCGACCGCAAAATGTGGCTCGTGTACGGGCGCTCTAAAGCCCTGTTTTTCTAGCGACGCATTTTTTGCGTCGCGTGCGACGTATTATGCTCAGCTTAATACGTCGCCTACTCCACCATAGGGATCAAATAGGACTGTTTTCCTAAAGAGCGCAACACATTTCACGCCGACGTGATGCGCTCAATGTGTTAGACCGACTGCTTCAAGAGGAGTCTATTCGGTTTTACGCTGCGCAATATAGTCAGGTTTTGTCTGAGAACGTTTGTTTCGTTCAGTGTTATTAGTGACTTCCTGATGATGACGGAGCAATGCTTCCAATCATTGGAAAAACCCCAACGCTCACAAAACTCCTTGGCTTTTTCTTCCTATTCTATGTGGTTAGTAGGGGGCAAACAATAGACACAAACACCGCCAATGCCTTAAGTCCTATAATGGTTTTAGCAGACGGCGATATGCGGTATCCAAAAGTCAGTCCCCTCTTCAACGTCTTGCCATCAGTGGTGCCATCAGTACCATATGGTCAGCGGTCATGGAGATCCTTCTAGATCTACCTCCTCTCCATATTTTTCTGGAGAGAGATGGACTGCATATAGACTTGTGCACATTGCCAATTGCACAAATCAATTTAATGCAGAGTGCAACAGACTGTTGGTTGACACTGGAAGTCAAAGCATTCTGGAAATGACATTAAAACGCCGCGTGATAAGTTTTGCGCCCCTGCCGACGCGATTGGGATGAATCCGGATGAATCCGACATACCTTAAAGCCCTGTTTTCCTAGCGACGGATTTTTCGCTCCGAGTGCGACGTGTTACATACAGTCAGTTTATTACGTTGCCTACTCCTCCATTGGAGTTCAATAGGACTGTTTTCCTAAGGAGCGCTACACATCCCACGCCGATGTGATGCGCTCAACGTGTTAGACCGACTACTTCGAGAGGAGTCTATTTCACACTGCGCAATATAGTCAAGGTTTGTCCGAGAACGGCGTAGCGATGGGAAGTCCACTCAGTCCGGTGACAGCCAACTTCTTCATGGAACAATAGGAGAAGGCAATCGACGCTTTCGATTTCAAACCAACCATTTGGCTACGATACGTGGATGACACATTCCTGTCATCTGGAGACACGGGAGGGACAGACTGAACCTATTTATAGACCACATAAATGGGAAGGTTGTCCCGGGTATCAAGGTGGGAATCTTGCTCAATGCATCAAATTCACCATAGGGACTGAACAGGAACAACGGAGAGCTTTTCTAGATATACTCGTCAAAAGGCGTGGCACATGACTGACACATAAAGTGTTCCGAAAACCGACACATACGGACAGATATCTGCATGCACTTTGGAACCACCATCCAAGTCAAAAGCGGGGAATTATCAACACCCTGGCGGAACGTGCCCGTAGAATATGTGAACTGGAGCACCTACAAGAAGAATTGAAGCATCTTCAAGTGGCTTTAAGATGAATGAATACAGTGTAACCGAGATCAACAAGGCCATGAAACTGAAGACTTCCACAAGTCAAAATATGGAGGAACTCAAACGGTTGCACGTGCATTTCTTCCGTTCATCCCTAGGGTTAGAGGCAGAATCAGAAAAATCTTAGGGAAGCATAAAATGAAAACAGTGTTCAAGCCCACCAGGAAAATACAACAAATTCATAGATCTGCGGAAGACAAAAGAGATCCACTATCAGCTGCGGGGGTATATCGTATATTATGCACCTGCGGTATCACCAAAAGATCCATGGGTACAATGCTGAATGAACATCGGAGAAACTGACTTAGTGATGAGGACGGAGCCACAATCCTTACATGCTTCCCATCAGTAGGGAAACCCCAACACTTCCAAAACTTCTTGACTTTCTGTTCCCAGTATATCTGGTTAGAAGGGGGCAAAAAATAAGCACAAGCTTAGGTACTATCGTGCTCATAGCAGACAGTGATATGCGGTAGCTAAAAGCCAGTGATCGGTACGACTCTTCCGTGGCCAGAAACCTGAAACAAAATAAATAACAAGGTGTTATAGGTTAGGTTAGGTCCAAAGTGAGTGGGTCTATTCGACCCTCCACCGCAACCTGCAAGGGTTTATTATGGCTCACACCTATTCACACTCGACCAAATAAACCCAGCTTCTTAAGGAAGTCGATTAGTTTGTATGGTAAGTGGTCTTTCAGGTCAGATGGTAAGATGCTCTAAAAACCTTATTCGGTCCCCACCGGGGCAGACACAAAAGATATGCTCTGCTGTTTCATTATTAATGAGGTATTCGGATAGTCAAGGTGCAAGATTCCCACCTTGATACCCGGAACAACCTTCCCATATGAGGGTTTTTGCACGTCAGCTACACCTGACGATGCCTTAAGATTCAACTGGCAGGGCTTTTTCGCCTGTGGTTTTGGTGAATCATCATTTGAGCGCAAACGTTGGCTAACCTGCTCATGGTGGGTTTGTTTCTCCACCTGAGACAGATTCTGCGTACGTCGCTCAAGAATTTGGCGGTTTCATAAGGTACCCCGCTCTTGGGGAGACGACTCAGTCGTTTCCTGGCCGCACCACCAAACCTTTTTTTAGATTCAGTTATTGGATCACGAGTTGGAGAGTTGAGAATCCTGATCTGAATTTACAGGGAGGTCAGTTGGAGTCGTAAGCTCGACATCCATCTCCTCTGTAGACTCGCTCCTGATCCAAATTTACAGGGAGGCCAGTTGGAGTCGTGAGCTCGACATTCATCTCCTCTGTAGACTCAGCGCCATCGGCAGAGCCCCGCATTACCGTGACAAGGCGAAGCTACGACGAGAGGGTGCCCGGTATCTCGAAGGTTCCGTAGAGACAGCTGATAGGCTGTTCAAGTTATTGGATCAAAATCTCACCGAGTTTGGTTCGTTTGAAAAGCCAATGAAATAATACGGAGACAGAATGAACAATCAAAATTTGATAAATGAGGTGTGTATGAGGTAAATTAAACATTGTGTCTTCTTCAATGAAAATAAAACTCTAAACAAATAACAATAACTCACTAAAATGTAAAGACAAAAATAAATCACGGCCAATTCTCAAAATGCTGGCCTTGTTCCTGATAACACAACTGTGCCCTTCTTCGAATATTATTTTATGCACGATTAATTTCCCTCCTCTTCAAACTTCCGAACAATGCTGTGTTGAAGGTCTTCAATATTTTGATATTACTCCTGACCATAAACTCTAGTTTTCAGTGTACCCCATAAGAATGTATCCATATTACTTGAGTCTATCACCAAACCTTATAGTCAGGTAATTAGGTACTCGTCTGGTAGTGTGCGGTGGAGCACCATCATGTTGAAACCAGATGTTGTTATACTTAGCCAAACGTAGATCATCCAAAATTCTATCTTTGTGAATTCTTGCCCACACGTTAGTACTAAATCAGACTTGAGGTCAAATTTCTCGGAACTGCCTAGGATTTTTTATGCTTGAATAGTCATCGTTATTTCGGTTGAATATCCCACAAGTCGTAAAAGTGCTTTCATCTGTCCAAGTTTATTTTCCAGGAAAACCGGAAAATCATGTCTTTTTTTTAGCCAATTACAAAATTCTCATCGCCTTTTGAGACCACCTAGAAGCAATTTTTGGGATATAGGTATTTTGTAACATTTCAAACCGCTTTTTTTTCAGATGTCTCCAAGCACTTGTATGACAGATATTCATTTCGGAGGAAATTTGACGTGTAGATTTTCCCGGGTTCATGTTTATCTACAAATTATCAATTTTTATTGAAAATGACACAATGTCTAACTTACCTCATATATACCAACCTCATTTATCAATTTTTTGTTTGTTTCCTGGTCCATTCTGTCTCCGTATTTTTTCCTCGGTTTTTCAAATGAACCAAACTCGGTGAGATTTTGATCCAATTATATTTCGATGTGGTTGTCGTCTTTCGCGATACAAGTTCAAATACATTTCCGATGTCCTAACACTGTTTCTATCGTTATTGTAATAAATTTGTATCATATCTTGTTTTCTTTTTTCGTGAAAGCCATTTTTCACCAAAAATTCAATGACTTATACAATAACAAAATGTCATTGAGTGTAACAAATTGAAGGTCAAATGTAGAAACATCAAAGTCAAAGCCTATTATGATAAGAAAACAGAAAGAATCCAATGTAGCTCCCGTAAGAAAAAATAAAGTTGATGATGGTGGCCTGAAGACGAAACGTCGGATAGTAAATCTGAAAATACCATTATGTAGCAGGCAGGGAAAAGTGGCAATGTGGAAGTGCAATTTATTTTCGGATCCTTCGAAAAATAAAGCCAGAAAAAAAAAACTTTTTCCGAAATTTCTGTTTCTTCCGGATATACTCGGAATCTCAGAACTTTCTCAACGGATTATTGTTAGTCAAGTAAATGTGCAACTTTGCCCCAATTTAACCATCTTCGTATCTCTCATAGTTTCCGAGATCCCAATGGTGAGGATCGAATTTGAAATACCCTGTATATATAGGAAACTCTATCAACATTTTAGGAAAACGTGAGAAACTGTTATTTATTCACAGTTATTGAAGGGGCAGGGGCATCACTGAAGTTTTTAATAATATGTGTGTCGATTAGGATGTTGTTAAAGAACTCTTGAAATTATCTCCACGGTAGTTTTTGAATTGAAAAATTTTGTGACTCATATGAAAAATTACGTATTGAAATAAGTTTGTTCACTTGACTAAATATTCAAAATGATGAAAATTCACATGCATGAAAAAATAAAGATTGTAATCGAGACGGTAAAGAATCTTACAAAGGCGCTGGTTACTTTCTATAGATATATTCACAAAAATGAATGAAGTGACCAGAAATCTGTAGATAGTGGATTCCATTCAATGCACTCTTTTCTCCCAGTACAGTGCTCAGAAAAATATTATTGTAAATATTGGCGAACAATTAAGACATAACGTTGAGGAGCACCCTCCTGTCAAAACTTCATCTTCATCATACTGTTGATTCAAATATACATTATCTAGAGCACTGGATTGAAATGAGAGGCAATATTGAATGGCCACTTAGGTTACCAGATTGGTTGTCCCTTGATTCATTTTTGCATGGATACCTCAAACGTTAAACATAACCAATGCCTTTGGAACATAGTTGTTTCGAAGGATTTTTCTTTCGTGTAATTAATTGCTCATATGAAAGATGTTACTTAAAAATGACTTTTCCTTCTAGTTTGGGAAAGTTATTTGCTTTCTTTCTTTCTTGGGAAGTTTCCCACATTTTGTGTATAAAGATAAAATCCAAAAATCTGTTAAGTTCAGATCCAAATAACTCAAAAGAAGAACCTATTACACTGTACCTAGAGAATAATTTCACCATTGAAGATATAATTGACTCCCGTGACTTTTTCTGTTGCTTTTCTTCTGAAGGGGACTCGGTATCATGGGTCGATTCATCTGTTCTGTGAGATGTCAAAATATGTTTTGATGAATTTTCATCATGTTCATCATTGACATTGACAAGATTTTTTGTTGAAAGCCTGAAACGAGAACAATAATATAACAACTTACGAGTATTTTCGGGGTAGGTTACTGATAGTCTAGGTCACAAATGTCACGCCGCAAAATTTGAGTTTGCTTTCGCAGAAAATTATCATTCAGTTTTTATTCGAATCGTAAATTACCCAGAGCAGCTAACGATTTGAGCCAAGTTACACAAACAAACAATTTAAATGCTATAAATAATTTAATCACACAAAAAGAAATGTGTTTTGCAAATATCACAAAAATTGTTGCAAATATTCAAAATTTTAAAAAAGATCCTCACAGAGCTGAAAATATAGTAAAAAAAGTCTGTCTTCAAGAAAATTTTGTACCACCATTTATAGTTTTTATCCAAAGGAAAAAAAGGTTTATCGAATTGATTTTCTCATTTATATCTACTTTTGTTAGGTAACAATTCTTTCCAAGTCAAAGGTTTAAAAAAACTTCAATAATTTTTTACAACTGGGGCCTACATTTCTTTTTTTATTCATGTATGAACAAAGATGTTAAAAAATATAAACATAAAAATAACATTGAATTTTTTTTCAAATATTCCACTTGCTTTGTTTTTTTTTATGAGAGGCTGCATAAATATGTTTTTTTTCAATTTTCCATTCTTGTTACTGGAAATTTGTTATAAACAATTGCATTATTTTCGTGGAAATTATTTTTCTGCAAGAAAGTCTAATTACTAATACAAATAAAAGATAAAACTCGAAATTTCGGCCTGGAATAAATCCAAAACAAACACTTTTCCAAATCATCAGAACTGCACTACTCGACTATACGCGTATTTCGCCAACGAAGTTGGCGTCATCTGGAGTTGAAGAAAACTTCATATCTTGAATGAATATACTTCAGTTGTTGGTTGGTGAAACGCACGTCAAATAGAGTTTTGCTGTTCTGGTGATTGGGAAATGAGTTTATTTTGGACTAATGCAAACAATGTTCTGAAAAAAAAGGTTTCGTTACATAAAAACGCATTTGTTAATTCAATATTCAGTTTTGCCAGTGAATGAATAAAAATGGAAACAAATATTTTTTTGATAAGAAGAAGAGCAGTGGAAATAATGTTTTTTCAAAAAGTAAGGTTTCTCAAGCATGCTTTACTGGCAAAAATGAATAGTTGATTTAAAGTCACGTTTTTTCCTAAAAATTATTTTTGAATGAATGATTAGATTTCTCCAATTTTTTTTCTTGAAATTTTTCAAAAAGTTGCTAGAGGTCATTTCGAATCGAATGAACCCTGGATCATAATTTTTGGTGCGCTGAACAGAAGTTCCAAAAAAAGGATCTTGTGACCCAGACTAATACGCCTACGCAAATCAAAGATGAGTTGGATTATGTGTGTGGGGACTCTGCACCATCTTTTACCACGGTGAAATTTTGGGCAGCTGAATTCAAACGTGGTGGTAAGAGGTTCTGAGACGATGAACGTTCGAGACGAACAAAAACTGCAACTATCGACGAAAAAATCGCCAAAGTTCACCAAATGGTGCTAGATGACCGTCGAATTGAAGTAGTAGAGACAGCAGAGATTACATACTAAATCAACATTTCGGCATGAGAAAGCTGTCCGCGCGCTTGGTGCCGCGTTTGCTCGCAAACAAAAAACGTGCTCTGTTGGTGCAGTTTAGTCGCAATAAATCCGAGTTTTGATGCCGATTAATTACTTTACATGAATTTTGAATATACCATTATACGCCCGAAATAAAAATACACTCCAAACTGTGTGGACTGCAAAGGGGGAACCAGCTCCAAAAAAAAACAACTGTTTTTCGGCTGGGAAAATGATGGCGACTGTTTTTTCAGCTGGGAAAGTGATGGCTACTGTTGTTTAGGAAAGTCATGGAGTCGTGGAATTATTCGAAGATATCATACCGTACTATAAATTTTTAGACACCCGGTATATACCTACCTGAATGATTCTTTAGAGGGAACAATTGTAAAAGACTTCAATTCTTGCTCATCTTCCATATTTTTTTGTATGGAATGTTTCGACTTTGGTTCCAATTTTTCATCTTCGACACTTCTTATATTTTCTTTTGACTCCAAAGCACTGAAAAATATACTCCTTTTACAGTTTAGAAAAAAATAATAGTTACAGGTAATTTCAGAATTTATTTTAGAATAGACGTTCCAAAGTGAATTATATACCTTTCAAATAGGTAAAAAAGATTAGTTTTTCCTAAGCCCAATATAAGAAATTTTACCAGCTCATTGAATTCCGACATTAAAAAACTGATTCAACAAAAAAAAAAGAATTCAATTTCATTTGGTCATTCAGTGAATTAGCAGAATTCCCAATTCTATTCATTTCCAAACATTCCAAGAGATTCAGATTTAAATCTTTCTCTTCCAAATATAACACATCATAGTGGTTGAACTCATTACCCTCTGCCAAAAGATCGTTTGCAAACGTAGAATTGATCTTCACATTCAAGAAACTATATATTTGTTGTTTTATTCTTTGGAACTAATATAAAGTGTTAAGCAAGAGCCACAAGTCATCTTCCTCTAGATTTTTTCAATCAGGAACCTACGATACTCTGAGGGATGATCCTGAAACTTCGTGCCACAAAAACTTGGAGGAAAATTCGAAGTCAATAGAGTTGTTTATGAATGGAAGTGATAAACGCAGGGCGATAATCATCCATTCAAACTCTATACCAGAGGTGTCAAACTCAATTTTGCAGAGGGCCACATATTGAATTCAGAATATGTAGGCGGGGTAGGTTCAAATAAAAAAATGTACTGAATTATAACATATTATTTAATCAATTATATAGTACACAATATACGGTTGTTAAAAATCATATCAAAGTTATGAAAGAGGGTAATTATTTTGTGCTCGAGGATCCAGATTCCTGACTTATCTTGTTTTTCACAATCTCATTGATGTCAGGCGTATCATATTCGTTGTAATTATTTTAAGAATTGATTGGAGATGCCAAAATCGTTACAGTTATGTAATTCGACACAACAGTTATGGATATCGCACGCGGACAACACAAACAAATGCACAACACTTTCACAATCACAAGATTTCACAATCACTTCTTCGCAGTATAACTAGAATCCTTCTCTGACCGTATCGCTTCGGTTACTCGACTCAACAAACTCACGTCGCGCCGACGTACTTCTTATATCGATAAGGAAGGTTCTAGTCTAGACTCGAAGCGCGTGGAAGATTAGATTGTTCTCAACAAAAACAGAAATTATGATTAAAAAAAATCGTACTTTAATATTCATATTTAGTAGCAAAAAAAATGTACAACACTTTCACAATCACAAGATTTCACAATCACTTCTTCGCAGTATAACTAGAATCCTTCTCTGACCGTATCGCTTCGGTTACTCGACTCAACAAACTCACGTCGCGCCGACGTACTTCTTATATCGATAAGGAAGGTTCTAGTCTAGACTCGAAGCGCGTGGAAGATTAGATTGTTCTCAACAAAAACAGTAGGGTATTTCCACTTGTTGCTAAGAAATGTCGTTACTGTCTATAATTGAGTTGTTCACTAGAACTAAATAGGTACCTAACTAACACTCTCTCGCTTGTCTAGGCACCCGCTGCCCTTGAAATTACTTATAAATGTAGTGTGCGTATTTTCAAACATACGTAGAGGAATCGAGTGAAGTGAAAGTGAAAAACATAACTCCTCCTGATAATGCTACATTTATGTTAGTTATATCCTTTAATGTCCAAAATTTCCGCCAGTTACGCATATACACTTTCATTTCATACATTTTTCGCGGTTTTCAAGAAAAAATTCTTACTTCTTTGAATCCATCGAACTTTTTGATTCTTTTTCTGGTACAGTATCCAGTGATTGGCTAGCCCTCACTTGATCTCTCTCAGTGGAAACATAATACATATTATGTTTCTCTTCTAGTCTGTTTTTGAAAGACGGCAATTTATATATGTCTTGAATGCTATCTCCAGATGCTTCAATTGAAACTCTTTTCCTACCTGAAAGAAGTTTTTTATGATATCAAGAAAGAACGAAAATGGGTAAAAATTACAATGTGTTGTCGTTCTTCTGGATACTTCAGATAATGTTAATTGTTTCAAAGTGGACCTTCCGCTTGACTGTTTTCCTGTATATGTGAAACTATTTGAAAGAATATAAAAAAGAGTCCATATTTCCCAAACACTCTTCAAAACAGAAAAACGAGTAGTTGTAAGTTACTAGTTGGATGTGTAGATTGTAGCATTTCACATTGAAGTTGGAGATGAGGAGCATATGATGATGTTTCAGCTATTCACTTTAAAAATTTAGCTAACACCAATATGATTTTCCTACTCCTGTGAACCCAGTTCGGAAAAAAGGTTTTTGATTTGCTCAGTTCAGCAAGTATATAGTTTTTTCTATATATTTTCATTCGTTTTTTTAAAAATTCTTTTACTGTTCAAAATATTTCATTATGATATGTTTTAGTTTAGTAGAAAATCTTAACTTTTCTTTCCCAAAAATTAATCAATCCTAAAAATATACCCCTTTCAATTCAAAGAATGATCTGTTTTGCAACGATCATAAATTTGGTTCAAGTGTCATTCGCCAAGTCTAAAAATTCAAAGTCATAAACTCAAAGAAAATGTGTCTGCATCGTTTCGAAAAAAAATGTTTTTTGAATATTTTTCCAAATATGAAATACATAAGTATATATTTCTTTACACAGTTCATTCTTCAAGTATTGAAGTTCGTATCGAGATGAAAAAAAAACTTGATAGTGGTTGCTTCACGGTGTTTTTTCCTATTTGTTGCTAATTTACAATATGACAGTTGGGTTGACGAAAAAATACACATATGTCATCAATAGAATACGTGATAAAACCCATACTTTTATCACTCAAATTGGGGATGGCTCTGTCTATTTTCCTGCGTATTAGAATACCTAAATGGAAAATGTAACATGGCGTTTTTACTATCAATGAATTTCAAAAATGAAAGCGTTTTCATTAAAAGGTTAGGATATTCATAGCAATGGCCATATTGTTTCGTTTTCATCAGTTTGTGACTTATATAAAACTAGTTGTTGCCCGCGGCTTAGCCCGCGTAGAATTTGGTTCTTCACATTCAGTTTCGTTACAGACCATTTTAAACAAATAGTTACAACCCAAAACTTCAAGTTTCCAACTTCAAAACTGACGAAATTCAATACAATCTTTCAACCCCTAGTTTTTCCCCGTGGAGGTGGAAATTCCAGATTCCCTTTCTTTATGCTTATTCACGCTATACAAAGAACCTGCCTGCATATTTCAAGATTCTAGGTTCAGTATTTTCGCCTATACGGGCGAAATACAGTAACTAAAATACAGTAACTAAAAAAAATATTCCAACTGCAATGTAATGCGACTGCCCGCGTTCGGGTCGCGTTCTCGGCGATGGCGCATCATTGCTTAGACCGCCCCTCTACCCGCGCGTATTGTACCCCGTCGTCTTACAGTAGATGCGACGCGTAATGGTTTACTGCGTTGCGTCAAGTCAATCTTATAAATGATAAATTATCTTATAAATTTTGAAGGATTCGTCCAAATTACTTTGTGTAAAAGACAAAGTTTATCTATATTGAATACTTAAAACGACAATTGTATCAATTTTCATGAAAATTTGACATATATTCTAGAATGTGTATTGTTAAAAATGTATCAAAATTAATTGTATTCATAGTTCAGTATTTTGCATATAGTGGCTACCACATAAGAGGTAGATATATGCCATCGCATACTTTTATTTAGAACTAATTACGATAAACAATCTTACGGTACATTATATGCAGGTGACTCCAACGGTATAGGTAGCGGACGCCAAGATAGCTCTCAGGTAGCAAGAATTTTTCCTACTTACTTTTACTTATCGTTTTATTATGACCAAAATAACACAAAACCTTTTTAAATTGTAGCCTATATGTTATTCCGATGTATACGCTGTATTTATGTGAAGTTTCATCTAAATCCGTTCAGTCGTTCAGGCTGAAAGAGCCACAAACATACATACACACATATAGATAGATAGATAGATATAGATTCACGAATTGATGACGCATGTATATTCATTCGTCGACTCAACTGTATTGATTGGCACGAATCTTTTGAGTTTTACACAAATCGTTATTTGAAACGTTCTTTTAGCTCCTCCTCGTCCTCATTTTTGGAAAAATAACGTTTATCAAACATAAACAATATTTGAGAAAATCACTTGTGCACAACAAAACTGTAACACTCTTCAAAACGCGTGTTTCACAACTAAGTAATGGTTAATATTACTGGGGTTTTTTCCCAACACCAAATCGTTATTTTTAACACCTCGACACGTGTTTTGATCACCAAGTGATCATCTTCAAAGAGGAAGGTTATCAGGAAATTATCTGAATCGATCATTGATGCCAACTGATGAAATGCTAGTTTTGGTGCGTAGATGTTGAATGTTACGGAAATCATTTTAGAAAACTCATTCCTATGTGATAAACCACATGTTCAAACTACTAACAAACTTCAGTATCATACTTTTGTTTGCCCTGAAGGTAGAATAATCGTGAGTGTACATGAAAAAAATCCTGGTTCAGATACATTGGTCCTTTAATTTTTCTCACTGTACACATTATAGATTTGGATAATTCCAAGTGCGCATTATTAGTTCATTGCGTTTTTTTTGCAGTTTTTCGTACTTTTTTCTTCACTTTCAGGCGATCTACTTCGATGGCAATTGTGCGAATGTTCTTCATTTTTCCGCCTGCCAGGTGACGTTGACGTTGACCTGGAGCTCTTTTTCGGGCAGTGACAGGGACTGAAATTGTTACGATATTAGTAAAATAATATATCCACAAGTGTATAATTTCAAGGGCGTAGATAACTGTGTCTGACGTTTTGTCTAAGGCTGCGATAGGCATCAATGGCGATGAGACATCGAACAGTCTTCAATGCAGATGCTATACATTGGGTTTGGGTCTCCAGTTTCATTCCATTTCATTTGTGTCGGTAACTAGATTATATTTCCATATTTCTGAATCTCCTTCCTGTATAGTACTGAGTAAATCAACAGTAGTGAAACATGCACTCAGAAAAAATATCTCCTTTATCGCGATTGAAGTGACCCAAATCCTCGAAAGAACTTAGAGTTATTATTATTATCCGAAATTGTATTGTGTGTGGAGAGATTGGAAGAATTCAACCTCGTACACAAGTCAATAAAAATATTCTCTGACAGTTAAGCTGCGTTGGAAGATCTTGGCTCCTACCGAGCAACGTCTAAATTGGTAGCAAATTGCCAAAAACGACTCTCGATAAGAAAACTTAACAGATTGTCTCTGGTGTGGATTCCTGGCCATACTGGTCTGGAAGGCAACGAGGCTGCTGACTCTCATTCAAAGGAGGGTGCTGCAAGCAGCTTCATCGGACCTGTCATTGGCATCGTTTTACGCCTTGCCAAACAAAGATTGATGGTAAGAAGATTTTTGGACTTCTAACAGAATCTTCCAGGATTGGCTCAGTCCAAGACGTTTATTCACCCTTCGAAGCTTGATACCAAACAGTTGTTGGATTACAGTAGGGATGAACTACGATGTCTAACAGGCCTTCTTACAGATCACTGTCATTTGAATCATCATATACAGTGTGTCGCCTCTGTTTGGAAAATGATCAAACAGCAGATCACATACTTTGTGCCTGTCCCGCTGGAGACCGAATCAGGTTTTTAGAGTTCGGCAGAGCCGTGAATAGGTGTGAGCCACAATAAACCCTTGCGGGTTGCGGTGGAGGGTCGAATAGACCCACTCGTTTTGGACCTAACCTAACCTAGTATCCGAAATTACATAGGGAGATGATAAAATATCAGAAAAATGAACAATTTCAACCGAAAGGAGAAGATAATTAACATTAACAAAGGTAGCTACCTACACTTCATTGCTCGCGTAGTAGGACATTAAGTCTAACCAATAGGAACGAAGCCACCCCCACCGCTCATAGAATAAAACCGGAAACCCACTTCGCCCGTGGTCTTATTGCCTTTTATAATGTCAACCGCAGTCGTAGAATAAACGTCAGACGTATAAACCAGCACACCAAGACCAACAAACCCACGAAATAAATTCGAAATAATGATATATCTATCATCTAATATCATCAATTTTGAAGTATCCAATCAATAGAAACCGCAATGAAACTCATCTAATCTGCTACTCGGATTTTTGTTGAGAAATTAATTATGTTTGAACATGCCAAGATTTCAAGAAAACGATTTTTTCGTATCAAAGAAATGATATATAGATTTGTTACTTCTGAAATCACTTCAAATTATATAACTTGATAAAAAAACAATCACCAATTTTTTGCTGAGATCATTAAATACAATACAGAATAAAATGTACAATTTAATTTTCAAACCCAAATTTGCGGAGAAGATGAATGAATCGAAAATTCAGTTATTCAACACGAAATTGCCTTTTTTCAGCCAAGCTGAAATTGCCACTTTCGTCACTGCGAATACAGTGTCGCACAATATTCTTCTTGAATTTCAGACTGGTTTTCGATCTCTTCACAACTGTCAAATTGTTTTGTTGGACATCACCAGAATTATTATCGGAGATATCAATCTAATACGAGCGAATGTATTGTAGGAAAAAAATTTCAAATTTCATTCAATCATCCCGCGTACAGAAAGTATTGTAGTCAAGGACAAATATAGATTTCATTGAAGTCATTGGTGTACCTCAGAGATCCATTTTGGGTCCTCTCTTATTCATGTTATTCACACAGTACACAACTTTATGTAGTTGTATCATTATTTCAAGCTCGATGAATACATAACGGCGAAAAAAAAATAAACGCATGTTTTCATCATTTCTACCAAAAGAAAATTAGAAATCTAGTATTTCGACAAAAGAAAAAGATCCGAAATAACCCAGCTGATACAAAGAATTATTATTAATAAACAAATAATACCTGACGACAGATTAAAAAACTTTGGACTTGTTTCCGTTAATGAATGGAAATTGAATCATCTTGTGAATATAATGATTGAAAATGCATATGTTCACCTAATTAATCGCCATTTTCTTGAATAGTTAATGGCATTGGGTGATATGGTCATTAGCCCTATGTTCTGGGTACACAATGGTCATAATTCCCTGAGTCACGAAGGGAGTATTATCTATTCGCAGTTTCATCAGACATAAAATGTAGCAAAAAAACCCAATGCCAACCTGAATAATATTCGGTCAAGTTGGGTTCAAACCCACGATCTTATGATAAACGATAGCATACGAAGTTTCCATGATACGAAGTTTTTTATTGGCTCAATATGTCAAACAGACCATATTTACGCTTGTCGAAATCATTTTATAATATAATAAAAACGATATAATCATTTTACTAATCAAAAATAATACTCATCGCATTTCAGTACTGGGTTTTTGACTTGATAGGTAGAGTTGGAACCACTGGCATAAAATTACTCAAATAATACAAAGTAAAATACTACCTTTGTTTGAAGGTGGTTGACAATGTTTTGTGGTGTATTTCATCAGTTCGGACTTCCATTGTCTACTATAATATAAATTGATTTGAAATCCATGAAAAAAATTAAAAAGGTTAACCGAAAATAACAATTTTATTGAACAAAAAACTGAAATTTAGATGATGGTTTGTTCAATTTTGGATAATATGGTCGTCAGTGTATCGAAATTAATATCACATTGACTGCAGTGGGTATTATAATTTTTACAAATCAGATTTATAGGAGACACTTTTCCAAGGAATTAGAGGGGTATAAAAAGTGTTCTGTTTACGTGTAGTAGCTTGAGGTACGTTGAAGTTCTTGTAAAGAACATTATTCAATGGAACAATGCAAAATTTTGTATAACATAATGATACTCGATGAAATTCTACGTTGCTCCAAGGAAGGCAGACCGAATCTATGAAATAGTGAGGAGTGGTCAGTTTCTCTAGCAAGCTACACGCCATCAGTCCTAAATGCAAGAAACTTCAGAAAACGCCATTGCACATTTTCCAAGGTTTTCTTTTGTATAGAGAGGATACAAAATCAAAGTAGCATACTCTTAACTTAGAGCGAACGAGAGATATATAAAGTATGGGTAAGGCGGTAATATTGGTGAATGATTTACAGTTTCGCAGAACAAAGCCAAGCATTTTTCTAGCCGATGCCGCGACAGCATTGGTGTGGCCAACAAATGTCAACTTGCTGCCGAACGTCACCCGCGAAGGAGTATTATCTCCTCGAAAGTATAAAAATACTCAATAATATTGGCATTACATGTAAAAGAGCTAACTTTGCACTTTTCAACATTTTTTGCCAATTTATTGATTTGACACCAGTTATCTATCAGGTCTAATTGAGCCTGCAGGTAAGAGCGGCTCTCTGAACTTGTGATAGATGAAAAGATCTTCAAGTCGTCTGCAAAAAGCAAGTTGCCACACGAAAGCTCGGAGGTGAGATCACTTACGAAGATGAGGAAAAACAGGGGTCCCAGATTGGAGCCTTGTGGCACACCGGATGGTGAAAGGTATGGTGCAGACGCAAATCCAAATAAGATCGTAGAAGTTGAGTTAGTGAGAGATTTGAACCCATTTGAGCTATTTTCTCTAGTAGATGTAGTGACTAATTATGTCGTAGCCATCGCAAAATCTGTATATATAACGTCAACTTGCCCTTTTATGTCCATTACTTCTATCAAAAACTGCTTAATACTACAGAGATTCGATACAGTGGATTTTTTTGCTAGAAAGCCATGCTGATTTGGCATTAGCTAGTCATACACAGATATCTCAAAGGCCTTCGCGAAGTTACACAGAATAGATACTGGTCTGGTTTTTTATTGTTTCCTTCGATCAGAAAAATGAGATTCGCACTAGAAAGCTAGGAATAAGATCATATCCAGAAGTTATTGAGTAAGGTGATGATTTTTTCAAATGTAAATAAAAACATAACACAATGATATTTAGTCATAGTATCTCCTGTTGATGCTAACTTGGTTAGCGAAACGCGCGTCGAGAAACAGTATTTTGTTTTAGTGTGAAACAAATTTTTTTGATAGATTGGTTTTTGATATTGACTCACGATTCTGTAACACCAGTACCTATCAAATGAAATCTTTCACTTTTACTTACTGGTGAAATATTTGAAGAAGACTGTAATCACCAACATGCCGGCAAAATCGATTTCAATTTATCTCTTTGTGTATAAAGCTTAATTACTCACTCTTTAGAGGCACTTGACAATGGCGCGAACTCTTTTGAGACGTGGAATGTTCCTCCATGCGACATTGAAGGGTTTTTAAGCGCCTTTACTGTAGTCGGGTATCTTCTCGCTCTAGTCTTCAAAATTGGGCATTCGTACTCGTTTACTTCGAAAACTGAAACCAGTATCAAATGTATTATTACCTATTGAAATCGTTTTCAACGAAACTTACGGAAACATGATGATACAGATTTGTCTATGAATGTGCCAGTTGGGCCTATCTTTGTAGATGAGTCCCACGCTGTCCTGAAATCGAAATGTCACCTCAGAATTTTCAATTCAAAATAATTGATGAGAGATATGATATTTCTACTATTGTTTTATTGTTCCACTTTTCGAATTCGACTACGAGGACACGTATCGTACAATTCAACGCGACGCGTCACGTCGAGACGGACGTTGTTGAAATATGTTGTCTCTTACAGTGAGAGGACTGGTCATGAGGGGATATCCACAGGAAGCAGTCTTATCACCCCTTCTCTGGAACATAGTTCTGGATACCCTGATTAATCACCTCAACATTAATGGATTCTACACAATTGCATATGCAGATGACATAGTTATCTTGCAGACGGGCAAATTTGTGAACACACTGTGCGATAGAGCGCAGGATAGGCTCAAATTAATAGAAACATGTAATAAGGAAAACTCACTGTCGATCAATCCCAAGAAGACTGAGATTGTCCTTTTTACCAGGAAAAGAAGTTGATCGGACTCGAAACCTCCCGAAATATTCAAAAGCAAACTAAACTTCTCTGAAGAGGTGAAATACCTTGGTACTATCCTCGACAGGAAGCTAACATGGAACTCGCACTTATAGAGTAGGACAAAAAGAGCATATGTGGCTTATGAGCAATGTCGGAGGACAGTGGGTCACGCATGGGGTATTTCACCCCGTGTGGTCACCTGGATCTACACTGCAATAATATGTTAATGTACGGAGCCATTGTATGGGGACCGAAAGTTCTACAAGCAACGGCCATCGAAAAATTATATCAAATACAGCGACTGGCTTGTTTAAACACCATAGGAGCCATGAGAACAACACCAACCGCGACAATGGAATTCATTTTAGGTCTGACCCCTCTGGACTTGTACGTTAATGACCATGTTACGATTGCGCACGGCTGATGTAAACCTCGAAGTAGGAATGGGTCAATTGAGGCTGAGCATATGGCGAGAAGCGGTTACTGCGCAACCTCTGCTGCAGGCAACCAGAGATGCATTTGAACCCATTTTTGTGTTTAATGAACTCTACAAAATACAGATAATACAGTCCAAAGAAGGCTGAGAATGTGGAGTGTGCTCCAGATCACCAAGCCTAAGGATTGAGTGGGGAATGAAAAAAATACCAACGTGGTCCAAACAGAACTGTTTAAAAAAATCTGTTTGAAATCTGTTTTTACGTTAATCAGCTGTCGCCTCCATATGAACGACAACTGTCAGAAGTTGAGAAACTTGTGCGAGCTAAGGACTAGCGAGGTTTTACCTTTCAACGTGTGATTCCTAACACGGCTGGTATCTCAATCGCTACAAAAGAAATCACCAAGAAAAGAATTTCTGGCAAACACATAACAATCTGCACTGGCAGCAGATAAGCCCTATTAGCCTTGTACATACAACGTGTTATCTCAGAACAAGTACTAGAGTGCCACCAAGATTTAGCCAAAGCCTCGGTAGATAATTATCCTGAGATGGATAAGGAGTAAAGGTAATCGTATTTCCGACTCTTTAGCCAAGGAAGCGGCTGGACTAAGAATTTTAGGACCCAGTGGCACCTACGGCCTGATGACTTCGACAATTGCGGAACTAGCCAAATGTTACATACATGCTCAATATCTTAAGAGATGGGATGGAATCAAATGATGCAATCTTTCCATGATCACTCTGGGCGGCCCTGGGAAGCTGGCGCCGAAGAAATATCTGGCGATGACCAGAAAAAAATATACGCTCAACAGTAGGATTTATGACTGGCCACTGTCAACTAAGGAAACACCTCCATAATATGTGACTAGTGAACACACTTGTATGCAGGAAGTGTGAACAGGATGATGAGACTGTCAGCCATGTCCTATGCGAGTGCCCGGTGTTATCGTCAATAAGAGAGTGTGTGTTCGGCTAGTCTTGGCCTACACCTGCCGATATAAAGGAGATGCCTCCAAGTGACCTGTCCAACTTCCTGGAAATGACAGTATGAACGATGACCTAGGAGGACAACTTCCCGGGAAGATGTACAATGAGTCACATGTGGCCTATGTGCTGTGGGTTTACACTAACCCTCCCTACTCTACAGACAGAGATGTTATCTCTTAGGCCCAATTCACACAGGACGGACGTCTGACAGAGACGAGGCGCAGACCTTTGTCCTTCCGCGTCTCTCCTATTTTCCAATATTCACAGAAGTGACATGGCGCGGGCGGTCGCCCTCCTGCCCTCGCCCCGTCTCTTTGCCGTCTCTCTTGGCGTACAAGAAGAGGCACGCCAGTTCCTCGCCACGAGTTTGTTCGTGTTCATCCTCAAAAATGCAGGATGATGTTGACTCCAGCATACAATTTTGCAAAAAAGTTGGCAAATATCCTCGTTTATCTGATTTTAGTCTTGCTCATTAATGTAATAGGAGTGCTCAAGGCCAGGCCTGGCAGGAAATTTGCTAAAAAAATACACCAAATCCAACATATCTTCATAATTTTCGTCACTGCTTGAAAAATCCATGTTGTAGTCCACACAACCAATAGGTTACTGACATCCTTTCTTGCCCCCGTCCCGCTCCTCTGTGTGCATTGCATACGCCATGCTTCCACTACGTCCATGCCATGCCGAAGTCTCGTCACTGCTAGACGCTCGTTCTGTGTGAATTGAGCTTCTAGTTTCAAATTATCAGTAAAGCAAATTTCATTAATTTTTATAACAAGATGATAGCTGATACTATGATTCAATATATGTGTTATGAAAACTTCTCAATGAGATACTGATATGTTGAAATTGAAAAATTAAGTTGGAAAATGGATTGGACTGGCCTCAATATGTTGTTCGATGCATGACAACGAATTCCTATTCAACTCTGTGCGAATCCAAGATAGATTAAGTTGAAAAAGGATTGTTCGAAACGTCCATCGCTTCATCAGCACTCTAGATAGTGTAGAAATATGGGGAAGTGAAAGCTTAGTCCATAGTGAAACTAGTGGTGAGCCTTCTAGGCTTGGTATTCAAAGTATTATCCTAATGGATTTATTAGGTATCTGAAAAATCTCTTAAAACAGGAGGTTCAAGTTGGATCCCGCAGAAAAAGTTGATGAAGATGTGATGTTTGAGCATCCTCCATTGTTAGCACGTTTTCAGCTATCTCTGCTCTCCGAAGGATTATGATCACAAACTAGGAATCCCAGCACAAAACATAGGAATGAAAATACTACTACTTCATTTAAGGTCTCAAGAATCACATTCTCATACCAACCGGTTCGAATTTTGGTATTGATAAAGAAAGGACGCCACAGTCCAGAACATAAAACTGGTAGATTTACATTCCATAAGGATAATCTTGTTAAACTGCATCAAAGTTCTGCAGGGTTGAAAAAAACTGAATGGATACCCATCACAATTTATCAATGATTATTTTCTTCCCTATTTCACAAAAATGGATGAACTCTCTGTCTGTTTTATTCAAAAGAAGTTCTAAGAAGTTGACATATTTATTAATTATTATTTGTAAAAAAATGAAATGAAGACACTAAGCAAGATGATGGTTTGTTCAATTTTGGATAATATGATCTTCAGTGCATCGAAATTAATATCACATTGACTGCAGAGGGTATTACAATTTTTACAATCAAATTTATAGGAGACACTTTTCCAAGGAGTTGGAGGGGTATAGAAAGTGATCTGTTTACGTGTAGTAGCTTGAGGTACGTTGAAGTTCTTGTAAAGAGAGTGCATCAATGGAACAATGTAAAATTTTGTATAACATAATAATACTTGATGAAATTCTACGTTGCTCCAAGGAAGGCAGACCGAATCTTTGAAATAGTGAGGAGTGATCAGTTTCTATAGCAAGCTACACGCCATCAGTCCTAAATGCAAGAAACTTCAGAAAACGCCATTGCACATTTTCCAAAGTTTCCTTTTGTACATTATAGAGAGGATACAAAATCAAAGTAGCATACTCTTAACTTAGAGCGAACGAGAGATATATAAAGTATGGGTAAGGCGGTGATATTGGTGAATGATTTACAGTTTCGCAGAACAAAGCCAAGCATTTTTCTAACCGATGCCGCGACAGCATTGGTGTGGCCAACAAATGTCAACTTGCTGTCGAACGTCACCCGCAAACGAGTATTATCTCCTCGAAAGTATAAAAATACTCAATAATATTGGCATTACATGTAAAAGAGCTAACTTTGCACTTTTCAACATTTTTTGCCAATTTATTGATTTGACACCAGTTATCTATCAGGTCTAATTGAGCCTGGAGTAAGTAAGTTGCCACACAAA